AAGAAACGGAGAACTTCGATTGGTACATATTCTTATGCATTACATGTTATGCGTTATGCAAGAGTCTGTGCTCCCCGCTTTAGGACCCAGACACAAGCTTTTGCGTAACGCATAATACATAGTGCATAATGGAATCAACCAATCGAAATTCTTCTTTTCCATGGAATGAGAGGAAAGGAAAGCTTCTGATTAGTTGATTCGCTTATGCACTATGCGTTATGCGTAAAGGTGCGATTTCACGCTGACGCTGAAAATGAGCGTCGAGCGTCAGCGTGAAAAGGCACCTTTAAGTCTGCGTCCCCATGGAGAAAGAAACAGCGGAACGGAATGTGAACGGAATATTGATAGAAAAGAGATAGGATCATCCTGTCTCTTTTCTATCAACATTCCGTTCACATTCCGTTCCGCTGTTTCTTTCTCCATGGGGACGCAGCCTAAGGCTTAAAAATCTATTGTAGATCTGGGGTTATGCAAAAGTTTGTGTTGCGGCCTTCACACGTACACGAGCTTGTGCTTGTGTGTGTGCTACCGGTTGCACCAGGCCGCCGACCGATGGAGCTAGTCGCGATGTCGTAAACAGAATTGGCATCTCTGGCGACTCTGGACTCTGGCTCAACTGGCTCGACAATCAGTTCGTTAACAGCCTTTGGTAGATCGGTTAGTCGGTCGGTCGTCATGCCTATCGCCGTTCGAATATATTAACTCGTTGTTACACCCACACGTGCACACACCCGTCGTAGAGACCAAGCCGGGGATTCACCTCGACGTTTCTCACGTCGCACGAGAGTGTCGTCCACCAGGGTATGTCGTCGCGGGGCCGTGCAATACGGTAAAATGTTGCCGCTGGCCAATCGGGATCATTCGCTGACAACCAGGTGAAGATGGAAGATGACGCTGACCTCAGGGAACAATTGTTTCTGAACACCGTACGCGAGAACATAGTGAGTAACATCGCAAATACTCTTCCGAGCGTTGAAAATGCCCATCCTAGAGCCGCACGATCGAGTTTCCCGCGCCATCGTACACGCAAAAAAAAAACCCGACCTCGGGACCCTCTGTGGGCACACAATACCAAGCCCCGAATGTGGTGTTTTATGCGGGAATCCCACAAAGATTTACGCCTTTCTCCGGTCATCATTCCTCACCGCGGATGTCGTCACAATTGACCCCTCTGGAATTTCCACGAAGAATCGAACGCCTAATATATTCATTTCTACCAACGTGGATTAACTCCAATCTAAGTTCAGTTTACTCATCTTTCTAGGTCTAAGAATTAAATTTAATTAGCATGTTTCCGTCAATGTAAATTAACTTTAATCTTGGTTTAATCTCGTATCTTTTTCCAGACCTAAAAATTAGAATTAATTGGAATTCCCGTTTCTACCAAAATTAATCTCGATTCAGCTTACTCTTTATCTTTTTTGTAATTCTTGAAACTAGAAAAATAAGTAAACCGAAATTGATCTACGTTGCTGGACAATGTCCAAGATTAAAATTAATCTATCAACGTAGATTAACTTTAATCTTGATTCAATTACTTTTATCTTCTCTAATTGTAAGAATTAGAAAGAAATAAAGAGAGAAATTTACTAGAGATTAAAGTTAATCTGTATTAATAGAAATGGATCCAAAATCAAGAATTCAACTTACACTTCACATCTTTTCCTAATTCCTAAACATAGGAAAAGATAATTAGAAGACTAGAAGTTGAATTAAAATTAAGTTAATCTACATTGGTAGAAATGTACTTAAGATAAAGAATTCAACTTATTCCTGTTTCTACCATTGTGGTTTAATTTTAATGTCCCAAACTAATTCTTCACTTTTTTCTAGTTTACTAAGACAGATGAAGAATAGATTGAACTGAGATTAAAGTTAATCTGTTAAATGTTGCATCCGATTGTAGATTCTATGATCAACTCATTGGTCACAAAATCATAATTTTCCACACCATTGGCACGCAAAACTAAGCCTTAAGGTTAACTGGAATCGTCTACTATGGAATTCAATTTCTAATTTGTATTCGCTCAAAATTGAACTTGTAATTAACATGAGAACAATTAAACGACAAGACCATCGCCTACTTGACGAATTGAGGTTGCAGCTTGTTTCGTTTTTAATTATTCAATCGCGAAAACGTGCCTTATCATTCATGATAACGTCAGCCACGACTGTAGCCGTTGGAAGCTCCGATAATTCCACCACTGTTTGCCGACGTGGATCGAACGGGGCCTACTTGTTTATTTATCTTAACGGGACAAATGCCCGTTCGTCCTCGATTAATCGTGGCCGGTGCGGGATTTAAAACTATTCAAGTTTGCAAGAGCATGTGTTTACAAGCGAAAGAAGACCTCCCTCTTCCCCGAATAAATTTTATTTTAGCAACAGCTGTGAAATATTGCCAAGGAAAAAGATGATGTTCCTCTTCCCTTCCCTCCCGTAAAATGTTCTTTGTTTGTCTCTTTCTTCGCAGTTTTATAAATAAGGTGCTCAATCCTTTGTTTAGCGCGAGGCATCGTTCGCTTATTAATCTTTCGTTATTTATTTCAGTCTTCGGCTGCGCTAATATCGAGTGTGAATCTTCAGCAGATTTACCACTTGTGAATAATGTGGATTTACGTCCATATCTAGCAATATACAGGATCTCCCACGAGAAGTTGCTGAAACTAATTCAGCTGCCATTTTGAAACTATTTAAGGAATAGGAAAAGTAAAATATCTTTTAATGGAAGATATTTGATAGTTTTATTTATACATAAAATGAAGACGAATATTTTATCATTTAATAAAGATTTATAAAAATATTGCCAATTTTAATGCTATATATTTTTGAAATGATATCAATTTTTTTTTTAATTTACACTATATATATACATATAAGATTAAGAGCAGCAATATTTCAAAAATATGTAATATTAAGATTGACAGTGTTTAGCATTTTCGTCGCTTTATTTTAAAATAAAATAAAACTGCCAAATGTTTCTTATTGAAAGATATTTTATTTTTTTTGTTCCTTATGTACATTTAAAAATGACAGCTTATTAGTTTCAGCAAATTTCACATGGAACACCCTATAAATTAATCCTAATCTCGATTTAATTAAAAATTTTTATAACAATATCTTTATTTTAGACTGTATATGTGAAAAACACAATCAATACTAGAAATTTAAAAATGCCTATTACGGTCGAAGCTAGATCTTCGTTGCTTAAATAATTCAATCTTGAATTACTA